CCCCCCCTTCCAGCCCTCTCTCTCTCTCACATTTGACTTTCCCTTCAGAGCAGGAGTTCTGGGGCCACGTCAGGAAAACTTGCCACAGGAATGTCACAGCCAGTCTGCACTGGAATCACCTGTGAAGCATTGTACACACTGTGATGCCCAGGTGACCCCTCAGAAATGCTGCTTCAGCAGCTGCTCAGCTAAGGTGGGTGCCCAACAAGAATGAGATCCTGTGATGTGGGGTGGGACCCCCCCCTCCTGTGCACAGGGCAGGGCCCCAGGTCCTGTGCAATTGCAGATCCTGACTCAGCAGGCCTGTAGTAGACCCAAGAGTCTCCATCGAACAAGCTCCAGGGGAGGCTGATCTTACTGGCCTGTGGGGCACACTGGCAATAGCAAGGCTGATGGGGACCCCTTCCCCTGAGAGGATGACCCTCTCACCCCAGCATTGGCCTCTGCTGTGTCTTGGTCTTGGGTCTGTCAGCACCTCACAGAGAGTCCCCATGCTCCCCAAACCTGGGGATTATTTGTTTGTGACACAGAAACTCAGTTGGGCACTGGGTGTTCCCTGTGTTCTCAAATGCTCTGGGAAAGTTGGAAATCCTCCCAGCAGGAAGGCCACAGAGGTGACCCAGGGGGTGACAAGGGGTCAAGCAGGGTGATGACTGCCAAGGGCACCCTCCTTCTATCTCTGGTTGCCACCAGCCTGGCCTCTGCTTACAGGGACAGAGACCCACAACCAGGAGTCTCGGGAGGACCTGCAGTTCCCCGGTGTGAAGGGGGAGGTGTCCTGTGTGTCCTGGGAGAAGGCTGTGGTGGGAGGTCAGGTGGCTGAGGGCTCCCTGGTCCTCAGGAAGGTTTCAGACAGACCTTCCTTCTCTATTTCTGCGGGCTCAGCCTGTCCTTGTGCTCCGTGACCGTTGGGGCAGCCTCTGTCCTCTGCCTGGGGGACTTTTCTGTGGTCACCCCACCTTGCCCATGGTGGTGCCAGGCATGGAGTGGGGAGCAGCACAGAGACCCCTGGGAGAGCAGGTGCTCCTAGGCCCTGTCACAGCAAGACAATTTTAAACCTATGGAGACTTTTTAGGAGTTTGAGCCAAACCGATGTCATCTGCCTGAAAGCAAGATCTCAAATCCTGAAAAGAAAGGCAGTTTTGCAGCTTTATACATTATAATAAAAAAAGATGAAAAAGTTGCATGAAATCCATTAGGTGGTGAGAGAAGGCATAGCTGGGAGATCTCTAGAACTGGATAAAAGGCAAACTGGAGAAACACATACTTTTTTTACACTGGTGGGTCCAGGACGGTTCACATTTTCAGCTCGTAGAGAGGCTGTGCAGGGAGCCAGGCATCACGAGGGCTCTGTGGTCACGTACTTTGGCGCCAGAGGCTATCCCTTCCATCGGCCTAGCAAAGAAAATTACTCGGACATGTGAAAGGTATGTCATCCAAGATGCAAAAGAACAGGGGACGGGGCTCACCTAAGGTACAGTCTCACCTTTGCTAAGGAAGCTATAAGCCTGAGGCAGGACTCCCTGCCACCGACTGCCCAGCTGATACTTTCTGATCAGACCGTTCCAGGCAGTTACTTTTTGTCCTGAGCTTGTCGGGCCACCACATGGCCCCCGAGCTTGCCAGGTTTATTGCACAACCCCTTTTGTGTCCACAGTCCCTAGAAAGAACAGATAGGACAGATCAGGCATGAGAGAGGAGCCCAGAAGGGCTTGTTAAGGCAGGAGATGGAAATCAGGCTTCCTCTTTACCTCCTTAGGCAAAGCCAGGCTCCTGCGGGAATTTCCTGTTGTCTGTGTCTCACTGTCGTTCCCTAGAGAGCAAGGGGCGACCTACAGCCGCTGTCAGCTGCTGGATGCTGCCCAGCACCAGAGGGTGGGAGCCTGGGCCCTGGATAGAGGTCAGCTCTGGCTCCAGGTCGGCAGGCCGATCAGTCAATCAGTCGGGCCCTTTCCCTGTGTGTCCCTGGCCTCCTGACTCCATCGCAGGGCAGGGTGAGCCCAGTGAGAGGACAGGCATTGTCCAGAGTATTATGAGTCCAGTGTCAGGAAAACTGTCCCCCCCCTGGTGAAGGAGCTAATTATAATCCAGAGACGGGCAGGGAAGGAAAATTTCTGGTGTGTCCAGAGCGTGTACTCGAGTCTCAGCTGGTCTGGGGGTCACAGAGAGCCCTTCTGAGAAAGTGACCTCTTGGCTGAGACCTGAATCCTGAGTGGCCCGTCGCCCCTTGAGGGACAGAGGGTGGGGGAAAGAGCTGCCTGCAGGGGACTGGTCTTTGGTGGGCAGATGCCTGGCTGGACGGAGGAGCTCACGGAGTCCAGGGTGGGCAGCGTGGAGGGCGAGAGGGGCTGTGGGCTGAGCGATGCTGGTGGGGCTGGACCCTGCTGGGCTGTGGGTGCTGCGCAGGCCGAGTCAGCAGCTCCCCAAGAGGCTCCAAGTCACGGAGGAGCTGTGCCGCCCTCTGGTGGACAAGCAGAAAAATGTGCAAAAGAAAGTCCTGTTCTATTTAGGTATTGTTTGCTTTGTGTTTTCTATTAAACTTATACTTTAGGCAATATGTCTTATGTGTATATATATAATTTTTAACATATTTACTGAGTTATAGTTGATGTATAATAAACTTAACATATTGAAAGTATCCAATTTATTAGGTTTTGCCAGCTGTATGCACCGGAGTAGTTGTTATATGAAGACTGCGAGCCTGTCCCTCACTCTGAAAGCCTCCTCGGGCCCTCCCGTAATCTTTCATCCTGCCCGCCTCGCACTCCCTTCCCCAGTGTCAAGGAAATTCTCATCTGCTTTCTGTCATTGTAGATTAGCTTGCATTTTCTAGAATTTTCAAAATTTGAATTATACAATATGTAATTTTGGACGAAGTTTGGCTTCTTCACTCAGCACAATTATTTTGAAATAGTTCTTTTTTAAAAAAAATCTCTTAGTTCTATTCCATTGTAGGGATGCACCAAATTTGTTTATCCAGACACTCGTTCATGGACATTTGTGCTGTTTCCCATTTTGGGGTTATTACAAGTAACCCTGCCGTGAACACTTGCGCAGAAGGGTCTTTAATAGAAAGAATTAGGTGCTTGTAAAACCTGTCTGGGCTCCTTGCTTACTGGGTCCAGAGTTCTTCCTGCTGGTAGACAACCCAAAATTCCTACAACCCACTTTGGGGTGTGTCGGTAAAGGTACCTTAAGAGCAGAAGACAGATCTATCCATCTTGTGCTTAGCAGGCTACACCTCTCTCAATCTAGAGCAATCTATCTCCTGACACCTGTACAAAGTCTATTACATGAACGAATATTCTGGGGCTATAAGGAAAGAGACCCGAAGAAGTATTGGGTAGGTGAGGCCCATATGCCATTTCCAAAGCTAAAGATAAAGACGGTTGTAGTCTGAGGCGCCAAAGCAAATGTTTGGTAAATAAATGTTTGTTTGCCTGGCATCTCCAGGTGACTGTCCCTCCTGGAGCTGGTCCTCTGTCTAAATTCTTTCTAGGCAATTAAAACAGAAGGTCTAAGGTGCTTTTTTAACTTTTTGTTTCCCAATAACCAGATCAAAATCAATATCCTAAAAGGTATATCTGGGGTGAAGGCCCTGCTTCCTTCACAGCAGAGCCATGACCCTCAGGCAGGTTTAGCGAGTCTAACTAAAAGCTCAATCTGGTGACCTAGTCATTTCATTAAAGTCGCCGAGTACCGAAATCGTACCAAAAAAACGTAAAAATACTGAAACACTGTTCTATCAATATAAGCGTATGGACTTTTGACTTCTTATTAGAGAAAAGTTAAAGGACACATTTGACTCTGCTAATGAAAAGGTTTCCTGCTCTGTTGTCCAGAGCGTCCCTCCGAGGCGTCTTAGTTGAGTCCCTCGTGTTATATTATCCGCAGCTGTTCAGGAGGCACCAGGCGTCCTGTGACCCTGACTCATGGCTCAGGTTCGTGTTCACGCCATCATCACTTGCTGCTTAATCGGTCCCTTTGTTGCATTTTTCCATGTCCCTAGTTTTGATTAGTACCTGCCCAGCCTGCCTGAGGGACTGCAGTCCCGTCTCTGCTGCTGGGGCACTGGGGGTGGGAGTCTCGCAGAGGGGTGCCTGCTAGGCTTCAATGTCACCCAGGTACCTTCATGGTTAACCTAATTTCGTTCAAAAATGTGCGCAGCGTGAATGCTGGAGAAAGGTCCTGATGTGACTTCCAAAACCAAATGGGTTTGTAAGGGCCCCTGTAGTCGTGGTTACTTTATGGCGTCTCTGTATTTTCTTAGTTAGAAATATTGTGCAAGGGTGTCCAGGAGACGATCCGATTGTTTGTCGTTGTTTACTCGCTGGTTCTGGAAGTGTGTCACGCACTCCTGCCATGTGCCTTCCAGGCACTGTCCAGGGCCCTGGGGACACGGCAG